CAGATAATTTCTTTCTATTTTTAGTAGAGACGGGGTCTCGCTCTTGCTCAGGCTGGTCTTGAACTCCTGACCTTGAGCAATCCACCCGCCTCGGCCTCCCAGAGTACTAAGATTACAGGCATGAGCCACCGCGCCTGGCCAGTTCAATTCTTTATTGTCAGGTAGTATTCTGTTGTATGGATGCATCACAGTTAGTTTATTCTAACATTGAAGGACATTTGGGTAGTGTGATTCCTTCAATTTTGTTTTTTCTGTTCAAAATGTTATAGCTATTTTAGTTCCTTTGTTTTTCCATATACATTTTATTATCAATTTATATTTATAGAAAAAAACTTTGTGGGGATTTTGATTGGTATTGAGTTAAATCTATAGAAAAATTTGGGGAGAATTGATATTTTAACTATGTAGAGTCTTTCAAACCATGAATACAATTTAGGTCGTCTCTGATTTCTTTTTTCAGCTTTTTGTATTAATAGTTCTTAACGTACCAGTCCTATGTGTGTATTATTGGGTATACAAGGGGCGGTCTGGAAAGTATCCAGCCATTGTTAATAAAACAAGAACGGTTTGCGTGACACTGATATAACCTGGCAGCCAAGGAGAGTGGACTGTAATGCTCATGTGTGAACAATGATGACTTCACTGTACTAGTCACTGTGGTGCTAGACACTGTTGAGTGGGCATGTGTACTGTATGGTCATCACATTCAAAATGACTGAGTAGTGCAAGGAGTCTGCATCAGATTTCGCATTAAGCTTGAACGTTCCTCCACAGAAACTATTCAGATGATTCAGAAGGCTTACAAGGACGATGCAATGAGTGCGGCACAAATAAAAGCATGGCAGAAACACTTCAAAGATGGTCGAGAATCTGTTGAAAGTGATCCATGTTCTGGAAGGCCTGCAAAAAGCAGAACACCTGAGAATGCTGAACGTGTGCAGGTTAAGTTAGGAGATGCTGGGAGAACTGTGTGAGGTCCCAAGGTGCCTACTTTGCTTTCTGGAAGTCAATGTGTGGAATTAGTGTTAGTTGTTTTTTAAATGTTTTGTAGAATTCTACAGTGAAGCCAACTGGGCACAGAGAGATCTTTTTCAGAAAAGTACTTTTTTAAAAAAAAAACCATGATTTCACTTTCTTTAGTGGTAATAGGACTAATCTGGTATTCATTGTATCTTGGGTAACTTGTAGTAGTTCATGGTTTTTAAGGAATTGCTCCTTTTCATCTAAGTTGTCAAAGTTCTGTGTATAGAGTTGTTCATAGCATTCATTTATTATACTTTTAATGTCCGTTTTATAGTGATACTCTCTTTCATCTCTGATATCGATCTTTTTTATCTTTTTTGTCAGTCTTGATACAGGTTTATCAATTTCATTGACTATTTCAAAGAAATAACTCTTGGTTTCATTGATTTACTCTATTCAGTTTCACTGATTTCTGGCTATTTTCTTTCTTATTTTCTTCTTTGAAGTCTTGTTTTGCCTGCATCCCACAAATTTTGATATGTTATAGTTGTCTTATGTATTATATTAGTTTGTTGAAAATTTTATCAGTTCATGTTATAATTTTTGTTCCAACTGTCAAATATGTTTAAAAGAACTGAAGAGGAGACACATAATACATTACATGTTTCTAAATGTTTGCCACTGTTTCTCTTCCTTTATTACTGATAGTCTACATTTGCTTGTCTCAGTATCTTTCTTTAGCAATTCTTACAGAGCAAGTTTGCATGCCATGGATTCTCTTAGTTTTTCTTCAGCTGAGAATGTCTTTATTTAGCCTTCTTTGCTGAATGATATTTTTGCTAGATATCATATTGACAACTTTTTTTTCAGCACTTCCCTTTTCTTGGTTTCTGATGTGAAATCTGCAGTCATTTGGGTCGTTCTTTCCCTGTAGACAATGTTTTGTTTCACTCTGGCTCCTTTCAAGATTTTTCTTTGTTTTTTTTTTTTTAGCTTTTAGCAGTTTGACTATAATGTGTCTGGACATAGACTTCCTCGGGTTTGTCCTGTTGGAAGTTCTCTGAAATTTTTGCTTCTGTAGGTTTATGTGAAAGTAAAACTTGAGATATTTCAGTCATTATTTCATCAAGTATTTTTTTAGTTCCATATGCTTACTAATCTACTTCTGGGACTCCAGATGTTCAATGTTTTGTTACTGTCTGCAGGTTCCGGAGGCAGTACTCAATTTTTTATTATTTTATCTCTCTGTTGTCCATATGGGATCAATTTCTATTGATCTGCCAGCAAGTTCAGTTACTGTCATATGTCATCTTCGTAATTGTATTCAGGCCACTCAGGAATTAAAAAATTTTTTTTTTGGTTACATATTTTTCAGTTCCAAAAGTGTCATTCGATTCTTCTTTGTATTTTCTATGTCTTTGCTACATTGTTCTATCTTCCCATTTGTTAACAAAAGTGCTTGCCTTTACTTGCTGGAACATTTTTATAAAAGTTGCTTTAAAGTCTATCAGATAGTTTGAATATTCCTGTCATTTTGTCTTTGGTGTCTGTTGATTGCCTTTTCTTATGTGAATTTTTTCTGGTTCTTTGTATGCCTTGTAAGTTTGGATTATATCATAGACATGTTGAATATTATAAGAATTTGGGACTTATTTCTAACAGAGATACCGGTATTTTGACATATAGTCTTCCTGGTTGCATTCAGGCCTCAAGTTCTGACCAGTCTTCTATGGTTTGGGGTACATTGTTGGCTCAGTTTTCAATAGAAAAGTGTCATTCAGGTGTGTTCCATTGTGTTCCACTTAGTGACCAGTCTGGGAGTTGGACAGTGGTCTGTTCTGTAGTTTACTTTTCAGTCTATTTATGCTGTTTAATGTTAGCTCCACGTATGTACAGCTTGTGAGTGAGCCCAGGAGTTCATAACTTTTTGTGGTTGCTTTCCCAAGCTCTTCTTCCTCCAAGATCTCCTTGGTACTTTCTGGTTCTGTGGGATCCCCTTTTCAAGTTCCCTGACCAGAAAGTTGGGCCTTTATTTACCCTTTCCTGCTGTGCACCGGTGTCTAGGGCAAGTAGCAAGAGGATGGAGAGAAAAAAAGTTACTGAATCACCCTACTCTGTTGGGACCACAGGTCATTTGATTGGAGAGGAACGTTCCCATCCTTCAGAGTTTTAGGTTTCTATGGTTTGCTGCTGCTGCTTCCGCTGTCATTAACACAGAATTGCTTCGGTGCTGGGATGGGAGAGAACTGAGAGAAAAAAATAAAGGAAAAAAAAACCAGTATTTTCCACTGTCTCTCTGAATGTTAGGAGACTCATTTCCTACTCTTCCCCACTCTTCCAGCCTTAGCTAGAGAGCTTCTCCTGGGGTTCTTTCTGTCTGCACCGAAGGCAACTTTCAAGTTTGGGGCTTCTTTGAGTTCAGACCAAGGGATAATGGAGAGAATAAATGGAATATTTAATGCAGTTTTGATGCTACCATGAATTCTGACCTTTTTTCACAGTCTACTTGTTACATTATTATTTTTAATTAGCAGATTTTATTTTTTAGAGCAATTTTAGGTTTGCATATTAATAAAACTAAACAGTACAGAATGCCACCTCTCTTCCCCGCTGTTATAGTTTCCTTTATTCTTAACATCTTGAATTAGTGTGGTACATCTATTATAATTTATTAACCAATATGGATATATGATAATTCACTAAAGTCCATAATTTAAATTAGGGCTCACTTATTCCATTGTGTAGTTTGTTTTTTTTCTTTCTTTTTTTGAGATAGAGTCTCGCTATATTGCCCAGGTTGGCCTTAGCCTCCCAAGTAGTTGGGATTCCACGTGCATGCCATCAGCTTTTGTGTTGCATAGATTTATGGGTTTTGACAAATGTATGATGTGATGTGTCCACCATTATAGTATCATACAATCTGGTTTCACTGCCCTGAAATTGTCTTGTGTTATACCTATTTATCCCTCTCCCCCCTACTCCTTAGCCCCTGGCAACCACTGATCTTTGAATTGTTTCTATAGTTTTGCTTTTTCCAGAATAGCATATAGTCAGAATTATATAGTGTATAGCCTTTCAGACTGGCTCTTTCACTAACCATTATGTATTTAAGGTTCCTCCATGTATTTTTGTGGTTTGGAAGCACATTTCTTTTTATTGTTAAACATTTATTGCTAAATAATAATATAGATATACCACAGTTTGTTTATCCACCTGTTGATGAACATCTGGGTTTTTTCCAGTTTTTGTCAATTATGAATAAAGCTGATATAAACATTCATGTGCAGATTTTTGTATATACATAGTTTTCACCTTATTTGGGTAAATACTTAGGAGTTTGATTCCTGGATTATATAGTAACACTGTGTTTTGTAAGAAACTGCTAAACTGTCTTCCAAAGTGTTTGTGCCGTTTTACATTGCTATTGCTCCATATTCTTGACAGCATTTGGCATTGTCAGTATTTTGCATTTTACTCATTCTAATAGAGTGTAGTTGTATATCATTGTTTTAATTTGCAATTCCCTAATGACATATTATGTTGAGCATCTTTCATATGTTTATTTGACATCCTCACATTTTCTTTATAGAAGTATCTGTTAAATCTTTTGCCCATTTTAAAATGAGTTCGTTTTTATTGAGTTTTAATAATACTTTGTATATATTTGATATGTCAGTTATGTATTTTGCAAATATTTTCTCTCAAATTGTGATTTGTCTTTATAATCTTAATAATGTCTTTGACAGAGCAGAAACTTTTAATGAAGTCAAACTTACCACTTTTTTCTTTCATGGATTATGTTTTTGGTATTATATCTAAAAACTCATTACCCTAGATTATCTAGATTTTTATCTGTGTTGTCTTCTAGAAGTTTCATAGTTCGTATCTTTCAACTTTGCTGTAACAATTTATTAGGTCCAGGAGGTTTTTCATTGATTCTTTGGTATTTTCAACATAGACAATCATGTCGTCTGTGAACAAAGAAAGTTTTATTTCTTCCTTCACAATCTGTTTACCTTTTATTTCCTTTTCTTGTCTTATTGTATTAGCTATGACTTTCAGTTAGATGCTGAATAGGAGCAGTGAGAGGGGACATCCTTGACATCCTTGCTTTCTTTCCATTCTTAAGATGAAAGTATCTAGTTTCTCACAAGTAAGTTTAATTTTAGCTGTAATGTTTTTGTAGATGTTCTTTATCCAAGTTGAGAATATTTCCCTCTATTTCTAGCATACTGAGAGTTTTTATCATGAATTGGATTTTGCCAAATGCTTTCTCTACACGTATTGATATGATCATATGATGTTTCTTTTGTAGCTTATTGATGTGATAGATTATGTTAATTGATTTTTGAATGTTGAACCAGACTTATGTACCTGGAATAGGTACTAGGTTGTGGTGTATAATTCCCGCTAGCTTGTGGTGTATAATCCCACTAGGTTCTGGTGTATAATTCTTTTTATATATTAGTGGATTCGATTTGCTAATATTTTGTTGAGGATTTTTGCATCTGTCTTTATGAAAGATATTGATTTGCAGTTTTCCTTTCTTTTAATGTCTTTATCTCTTTTGTGTAGTAAGGTGATACATTGTTTCATATGAGTTAGGAAGTGTTCCCTTTGCTTCTATTTTCTAGGAGAGATTGTAGAGAATTGGTATTATTTCTTCTTTAAATGCTTACAGAATGCTCCAGTTAGCCCATCTGGACCTGGTGCTTTCTGTTTTGAAAGGTCATTTATTATTTA